TGCCTGGCCACTTCCTATGCTTCTCCTCTTTCTCATTGTGCGCCATCAGCTTGGTTTTCTGCTTCCTCGGCATTGTTAATCGCTTCTTCGTTAGCCTGTCTTTGATGTTCGTCCTGTCTTTGATGCAGCTCTTACTCCGGTAATGTACTCTTCATCCAACACCTTCCTGGGCGGCGCCAACAGCGCACGTCCGGGACAGCCTTTCATGCAGCAGTCTCCATACTCGCAACAATTTGCCCCTGGCCAACATCAACAACAACAACAACAACCGCCACAGCAGGGTGGATTTGCGCCTCAGCCGACTGGCTATGGCCCTCCAATGTCCAGTTTCGGGGCCTCTCAGCTGCAGCCTCAAGCCACGGGGTTCCCGGCTGGTCAGCTCCAACCTCAGTTTACAGGGTTTCCGGGCGCAGTACCACAATCGCAACCAACTGGCTTCCAGCCCCCGGTTCAGCAGCCCCAGATCACCGGTTATCCCGCACAGTCGCAGCCTCCGCAGTTTCAGGTTCCCGCAAGCACTGGCCTCCCTGTTCGTCAGGCGCCTCGGACTTCGTCGGAAATAGCGGATTCGTTCCAAGATGTTGCTGGCATGGCTCCGCCTCCGCCACCTAAGGCGTCTGCCAGTAAGATACCAAACATTCGGCTCTCCTTCATCACTGCGCAGGACCAGGCAAAATTCGAGCAGCTCTTCAAGTCTGCGGTCGGAGATAATCAGACAATGAGTGGTGATAAAGCAAAGGAGCTTCTTCTGCGGTCAAAGCTGAATGGGAGTGATTTGTCCAAGATCTGGTGTGTATCCGGTTACATCCCATAGATTAGAGTGAAGGTGTTAACCATGACAGGGTGCTCTCGGATTCTACCAAGTCTGGCCAGCTCTTCTTCCCCGAATTTGCCCTGGCTATGTACCTGTGCAACTTGAGAATCACGGGTAGAGAATTGCCTAGCGCGCTCCCTGAGAAGATCAGGAACGAAGTCTCCAGCATGGTGGACATCATCTCCTTCCAAGTCCCTGATACTCAGCCGGAACCTGCTGCTAGAACGAATGTACCAAATTTCGATGCACCTCTCCTAGAGAATAAATCTGCTCCCCCCGCCCCCCAGCAGCCACAGCCACAGCAACCGAGTAATGCGCAGCTTCTGACGCAGCTCACAGCGCAGCCCACGGGTTTCCCTCAGCCGACGGGGTTCCAACAAAGTCAATCCCCTTTCCCAGGCCAAAACTCTGCCCTTGCCCCGCAAGCCACTGGGTTTCCTGGACAGTCCCAGCAATTACAGCCACAAGCCACTGGGTTTATGACCAATCCTCAGCCGACTGGGTACAGCGGTCCTCGTCCTCCAATGCCTCCAATGCCTACCGGCTTCGGGTCAAATTTGAGTCCTGCTCAAACTGGAGGAGTATCGGCTCTGGCCGCGCAGCCTACAGGCATACCTGGGCAATGGGGATTCGTGAATGCGCCGGCAACTGGCTTGCCTAACATAGAAGCTCTCAAGCAGCAGCTCATGCCGCAGCCAGGCCGCGAAGGTGGATTTACTACAGTCGGTCTTTCTGGAAACGCTCATATTCCCTGGGCCATCACCAAGGAAGAGAAGAAGATTTATGACGATCTGTTTCGAGCCTGGGATGGTTTCCGTAAAGGCTTTATCGGTGGTGATACTGCTATCGAAATCATGGGACAAAGTGGTCTAAACCGGTCTGATCTGGAACGCATTTGGACGCTGGCCGACCCAAACAACAGGGGGCGCCTGAACATGGATGAGTTTGCCGTGGCAATGCATCTAATCTACCGGAAATTGAACGGGTACCCAGTCCCGAATCGTCTGCCCCCGGAGCTTGTTCCCCCATCCACCAGGAATTTGAACGATTCGATAGGCACGATTAAGTCCCTGCTTTCTCAAGATGCAGAGAGCCGAAAGGCGTCTGGCGCGTTCTTGCAACCACAGAAGACTGGTGTGAGCTACCTGAAAGAGCATTCCTTTCGTGGTGGTGCGGTGTCTCCGGGTGTAGGTCGGAAAGATGCTACACTATTCAAGAATAACGACGAGGCGGCTGCTGGGTATCGCTCCAGCGCGCGTCGTCGAGTTGGCAACAATGGCCGTACGCCATCACCTGCTGCTTCCCAGGCTTCCGAGGAAGAGCTATCCGTGGACCAGCTGAAGAAGAAGATTCGTGAAGCCCAGATCATGTTGGATGCGGTGGATTTCCAAGACGAAAATCAAGCGGAAGAGGATGATGCTCTAGATCGGCGAGACCGCAGGGAAGCGGAGAGTCTTATGGACCGGATACGACGGGTACAGGACGATATTGACACCCATCCTGATGCTTCCTTCCGTAATCTTGATACCGGGGCCGAACGGAGGTCGCTGCGTCGTCAGCTGCAGGCTTATGAAGATCAAGTCCCGCAAGTGGCATCAGAAGTAAGGCGTGTTGAGCGGGAAATCGCGGAGGTTAGGCTTGAATTATTCCGCCTGAAGGATGCAAAGGAACATCCTAACAGTGCATCCTCTATCGTGGGTACAGGCCCAGGGGGCACAGTCACTGAAGCCGATCGTATTAAAGCCCGTGCCCGTGCCAGAATGCAAGCCCGCGCCGCTGAACTTGCCGGCAGGCCCGTTCCCGCCAGCCAGGACGACGATGGAGCTGCAACTCGCCGACTCGAGGCCGAGAATGCTACCGTTAAAGCTGAAAGGGAGAGAAACGAGACCATGACTCGCGACGTCGAGGAGAGTGTTAGAGAGTTTGCGCGGAGTCTGGAAGACAGTCTTAAGGATGGTGGTGAAAGTTCCACGCGTGAGCATGAACGGCGACGCTGGGAGGACGCCTTGGGTGTTGAAGATGTGGTTCGCGACTTTATCTACGATTTGAAGCGTAGCAGCCGCACCGCGCACGTTCGCAAGGAAGAGTAAGTATTATCACTCTCTCTTTGGAAGATACGAGTTTTATCATACAGGAGGGCATACACTAATCATTGACCAGACAACAAAGAGCAGCAGATACGCAAAGCCAGCGGTCCCGCTACGATGAATCGCCACTGGGAGGCGCAGCTGCTTCGCAAAATTCCCCGACGCCTACCGGCTCAGTCGTATCAGCTGGCTCTACGCATGAGGACCGTGTTGCGGCTGCTAGGGAACGTGCGCAGAAGCGGATCGCTGAACGGATGGCTGCTGCAGGGCTCAAGCCCCACAGTGATGCAGGAGAGACTCTGCTTCAACGGCAGGAGCGCGAGAAAAAAGAACGTGAAGAGCGGTTGAGGCGAGCAGAAGAAGAAGATGCTAAGCGGGAGCAAGAGCGACAACGTCGTCTGGCCGAGGAGCAGGGTGGCCCTACGGCGCAATCTGCTAAGCCGGCTGGCAAGAAGCCTCCTCCAGCACCGCCTTCTCGGAAGGGTCGGACTGACAGTGCAGGCCAAGCCGAGGCAAAGAAGGCAAGGGAGGAAGCAGCTAAAATAGAGCAATCTACACGGGAACAAGCTATTAGAGAGGAACAGCAGGCGCAGGAAGAAGAGACAGCCCGCCTAGAGTATGTAACCCTTGCCAGCCCTACTATTGACTGTTGATGCCGTTACACAAACTAACATTTCTTACCAGGACTGCCGCCAGAGAACGCGAAGCAGAATTCCTGAAGGAGAAGGAGGCCCAGGAGGCCCGTCTTGCCGCACTGCAAGAACAGGTCCGACAAGGGAAGATCAAGAAGCAGGAAGAGAAGCGTCGCAAGGAAGAGGCAGCCCGTGCGGCCAAAGAACAGGAAGCGAGACTCGCCACCCAGCGTGCTGAGCTTGAGATGGCCAAAGAACGCGAGCGTCAACTTCAATTGGAGCTGGAGGGCTTGGATGAGAGTTCCTCGGATGAAGAAGGCCCTATCAACATCACGCCGCAGGACAGTACTCCGACTCAGAGTCAAGTTCTTCCTGCCCCAGATACTGCAGTGCCGACCCCAGCTCCTGCGCCTTCGGTTCCAGCTCCAGAGTTAGAAGTCGTGACCAGTCCCGCTGAGTCTGCTAGTAGCCACGCTGCGCCCACCAGTCTTAGCCCAGAAGCTGAGTCCAAAAACCCTTACTTCAAGAGAATCAGCCAGTCCGACAGCCAGGTGCCGCCTCCACCACCTGCACCTCAGCCTGCCGCTCCAAAAGCCGAGTCTCAGTCGACCAACCCTTTCCATCGGCTGGCACAGCAGCAGGAGAGCTCCAAGCCTGCCTTTACTGCGCCCGGTCCGCTGGAGCGCAAGTCTCGAGTGCGTCCCGAGGCGGATGATGACTGGTCGGCGGCTGGATCGGAGTTTGACGACTCTTCTGATGATGACGATGAACGGCCGGGTGGTGGTAGCGCGAAACAACTCGCAAGCATCTTGTTCGGCACCATGGCTCCTCCCCGGCCTCTGAGTGCTATGGATGACAAGACTCCTTCAAAGTCGTCTACTCCCGTCCAGGATAGTCCAGCAACCCCCGCACCGCCGACTGAGGCAGCTGAATCCCCCGCTGCCCCCGCTGCTGTGCCTCCTCCCCCGCCGCCCCCGCCTGCCCCCGCCCCGGCAGTGCCCAGCCCTAGTGCTGCGGCACCGCCCCCGCCGCCTCCGGCTCCCTCCATGGCGCCTCCAGTGCCGCCTCCAGGCGTTCCCCCGCCACCTGCGCCCCCGGCTGCTCCCATGGGCGGCTCTGGTAGAGGTGCTCTGCTAGCGTCGATCCAGGCGGGAACGGGGCTTCGAAAGGTCCAGACCAACGATCGCAGCATTAGCTCTTCCGCGGGGCGTGTTCTGGACTGAGCCTTTAAGTCCCCACGCATACCCTGTTGGATACACTTTTGCGCTTTCCTCTGAAACTACCTTCGTCATTGGTTGTAGGGAGAGCAAAGAAGGAACCATGCTCATTAATTTTCTCTATCTTTCTCTCGTCGGTTTTCTGTTTGATTCACAAGTGCGAAGCATCGGATGCTTTCTGTTTCTTTTTTTTCCCTCTCAGCCTGTATTGTTTCTGGACTTCATACTAAAGAAGACGGTAATAGCCAAGGTTGCGTCTTGTGTCAGATGATCACTGTATTCGTAAAACCAGAACATGCCAATATATACATAAAATATGTACAGTATGTGTAATGAGAACTCACAAGTATATCCATAGATATGGATAGGCAAAAATCAAAACAACAGAGAGAAAAGAAGCGCTCGCAACACTGAAGCAAGAGCCAGTCATGATAGACCCTGAACAACGCTTACAAAGAAAGTAGTTGATAAAGGGCTCTTTCTGACTTACGCTTAGGCCTGACCCTCAGAATAGAAGCTCGGCGAGAACATTGCCAAGCGTACTAATGACCCAGAGAACAACCAGGCCCCAGCCAATTTTCTGGTCCATCCTCCATTTATTCAAGGGGACGACGATCAGCAGACCAATCAAGGTGATGAGTAGAGTAGCACCGCTAATGACGAGGACCTTGGAGACTTCAATCTCGTACGATCCGCCCGTCGCGGCGATGGCTTCTGGCTTGGCGTTCACGGTCATGTAAAGCCCGCCTAGGCCAATACCCAGAAGGATATTCAGCATGGGGCCTCCGAAACAGGCGCTCAGCGCCATTACGGGATATCCTAGGCGGGCTACCGTGATGTCTGCTACCAGGTCGCCCAAGGAATTACCCACTGCAAACACAGTCAGGCCGAGGAGAGAGTCACTGATGTTCAAGATTACGCCTAGGGTCTTGAGAAGGCTGACAACCTCGGTGGCGATGGTTGCGATCCAGCAGATTGCGACGATGAAGCCTAAAAATGCTAGAACGGGCCGCCAGGCACCTGGAGGCTGAGAAGTGAGGTCGTGCCGTGTGCTGATCATCAGGCATGTTGTGCATATCAAGGAGAAGAGAAGGGAGACCATGGACGGCAGGAGAAGATTCTCAACATCTAGATCGGAATCAACTGTCGTCCAATACATCAAGGCCACGAAGAAGGGTCCCACGAAGAGTTGAATCCAGACTAGCCAAAGGCACCACTCTTTCGCAGGTGGCGGTGGGGAATCCATGTTTGACTGGATGGCCGGCAATTCGGAATCGAAACGAGAATGTCTCGGGATAGGTTCTGGCTTGCCATTCGGATCAACCGTGTTTCGTCGTGAAATGGACTCTTGGTCAAGCGCACGAAGAAGTGGACTATCTTCCGGCAGTCGCACAGCAGGTGATGGTGCACCGTCGCCGTCAGCCGAAGTTACTATGACGGGAACAGCGTTTGCACCCGTATCAGGTTGTACAGGTTCAACCACCGGGAGGGTAATTGTCAGGAGCAATACACTGGGGGCAGCAACAATTCCCAAGAGTCGTTCCCAGAAAGATTTGGATTTCCAGCCTGCCAAGGTCGGGAATAAGGTGGGAAGGATGGGCTGGGAAGTGAGTTGCAGGTGCGGCCACCATGTCGGGGTTGCCGTCCGGTTACTCCCAGCATCGAAGGCGCTATCGTGAATCTGCAACCGCTCCGTCGGACTTGATGCGGCTGGAAGGCGCAGGCTGGGTGCCCCAGAGGATGGGAAACTGGCTACATCTTGAAAAGGTGGGAATGGGCTGGTAGGGCTTTCCGGGAAAGCATTTGCTGGGCCCGGGGAGAGGGTCGTTCCGCGCGGGGACAACGGAAGCGGGGATCGAGGACGAGAACTCGACACTTGATAAGTTGGTGAATGAAAAGCACCAGGGGGCGCAAGGAGGTTCGGGCTCTGAAGATGCGTGTTCGACTCGGTACTGGGGGCTTGCGAGACGGCCAATTGAGGGGTGAGTTGTGATCCTGGGCTCTGATCGGATGCTAAGGCGCCTGTCGTTTCTGAGGGCGATTGAGTATCCACCGAAGGCCGACGAACAGTGAGCAGCGGCTGCTGAGTATTGACAGTGAACATGCTTGTGTCTAGTTTCAGATCTGCGGCAGCGTTGGCAGACACCGCTCGAGTGCGGGCTGAACCAGTGCCTCCATCGGGAGATAAGCGGTCGCCCAGCGAGGGACGACTGGCACGCGGATGTGACATAACAGAGGCATTGTCTGACAGGCGCGAATGCGAGCGCGATCGTTCACCATCTGAGCATCGCTCGAGATCAAACGACTCGTTGCGATGAATATTCCGCGATCGTTGAAGTGAAGAGAGGACGGACTGAAACTCCAAAGCACCCACTAAACTTGGTCTGATGGGATTTAAGGTATTGCGCCTCCTTGTAGTGGGCCGATAAACGTGCATGTTGTCGCGGATCTCAGCAAGGTACCGATTACGGGTTTCATCATCCTCCTCCCCTTCTTGCCAGGCTGGAACACCGGATCTCTCAAGAGCGTCGAAATCTTCGCCGTGAAGGAGACTTGTAGCCTCCGACGCGACGCCAGGGTCATCTTCCTCCTCTTCTTCGATGTCAAGTTCTTGGTTGTCCGGGATGTGAAAGTGTGACCGAGCAGCTAGATTCCTCTCGTAGGAGCGACGCTGTCGAGTCAAATACCAGTGCCACGTCACCACCAATACAACATAGAAACAATAGAGCGCCACCATCATGGCCGATTCCCAGACATGGAGGCGGCCGTCGCCCAAAAGAAACATACTAAAGGCCACTGCTAGGATAAAAAATCCGACGTCACGAACGAAACTCCTCCGGGCGACCCTGAAGGGGCGGACAAGCGCCATTGAGCCAGCAACGACGGATGTGATGAAGCTTGCTGCACCGAGCAGCTCTCCAATGGCCAGACTCCCACTATTCGAACGCATGGCGGCGAAGGTGGAGAACACGTCCGGACTGCCATTTCCGAATGCAAGAAAAGTGACACCCGTGAGACTTTCACTCAAACCGAGGACACTGGCTAGGGTACTTAGATCTACACAGAGAAAATCGCTGGCAGCAATGCCAATGGTGCTAAAGAGAAGCGATAGCCACAGGACGATGATGATAAAAGCGATCGGCTTGGCCTTTGCCGCAGTGCAGTAGTAGAATTGAAGGTAGGAGAAGAGACCCTCTTCGTGATCGGCGCAGTTCGATAGGACGAAGGCACATTGATCTTTGGCTTGACGGACGAAACGACACTGTCAATCAACACAGCAAGCTTAGCATATCCCCAATTCGATAGATGGTGTCTCAATCGTCATACCTCCAGCGCGTTGTCCCGCCTCCGAAGCTGAGCGACATTGTGAACCGAGACCCGCTCGGTTGGCTCAGCCAGGCGACCAGAAACCCAGCTGAGAATAGCAAGGAGGGAGAAAGCAAGTAAACACGCCCAAAAAGGTCTGGCCGAATATCCACGCTTCCGAGAAGCGGGACGTCGAGAAAGAAACTTGGGTATCAATAGAGGAGACATGGTGGACGATCGGATTGCGGCATCCTGGGCGATAAGCAAGCGGTGGTGGAGAGTGTCACAAGGCCGGATGAACTAGTTGGTTAGTTTAGGTTGAGAAGCCTGGAGGGAGGAGGGATGGAGATGGAAATCGGAGAAGGGAAGACAGGGGAAGAAAATGGAAGCAATTAAAGCCAAGATAAGAGAGTAAGCAAGGGGGAAGGTAATGGGATTTAGATTTGGGCCGTTTGCCAGAAACTTGAGGAAACCTTTCAGACTTGACGATTGATAGACATGGGTTGGAGAAGTGACGGGATTGATGTCAGAAGAGCGGAGAGTCCAAGCAAGCACATCAAGCTAGATCGGGAAGGCGGTGGGAAGGGAAGGGAAGAGGAGCTGAGATGCCGATGATGATCCATTTAGTCGATCAATTGAGTGGGTACAGCTTGCTTGGACTAAGATTAAACCATTATGAAAGATGATTCAACTGTATGAAAATTTCACACAAGATCATTATATGTCTAGATTCTGAGTCCATCTATCTTTATTTATCTCTAACTACTCAACAACCAAACCATACTACATGTACTGTATAATAACTCTGGTATAATTCCGATACCTACAGGGAATATCTATACGGTACCGGGTACCGTACCGGATACCGAGTGCATGTAATGTCCTGTAATGTATTGTGGATCAACTCAAAAGAAAGTGCGCGGGTGGTTGCTGCCGCGCGGCCGTATGTTTATGTTGATTGTTTCCCTGTCTTCCAAGTTCCTTTCTTCGGCTTCTTCTTGGAGTGACTTTCTGCCTCTCCTTTTTGCGACACATGGAAAGGCGGTGATCGGGGCACGCTCAACTTGATATTGCGATATTGATCCTTTGCCTTTCCCCTCCTATCAAATATTGATCTGATTCTTCTTGTCACCAAAGAGGAAGTCGCTACAGTTACCGTCGTTCTTTCTCCTTTCCTCCCCTCCCTCCCCCCGCCTCCTCTACGGCCAGGGGATTACTTCACAATGCCCCGCGTCGCCAAACCCCAGAATCGCCGCTCCACCGGCGGCGCATCGACCCCTCATAAGCACTCACCTATGAAGTATGTTCTATACTATCGCACCCCATCTCATCCTATAATGCAGCCATGGCGCTGACCGTACTAGGATCCCGCTCAATGATGACATGGGCGAGAAGGCGGCCCGTATGGAGGCCAGACAGGCGCGACATGATCGCCAGATGGATCAGATCAAGGCCGCCGTGAAGACCCCCATGCCCCCTCGACGATACACCGGTCACGACTTCAACAACATGAGCCCGTCGACGCCCCGAGGATCGGGGCATCGGGGTCGCGACAGCGATGTCGACGGACGCCGTCGGGCAGTCACCCCAATGAAGCGCGTGCCTATCTTGGCAAACTTTGAAGAATGGATGAAGATGGCGACCGACAACAAGATTAACGCCAATAACTCCTGGAACTTTGCCTTGATCGACTATTTCCACGACATGTCTCTCCTCAAGGAAGGAGATGGTGTGAACTTCCAGAAGGCCAGTTGCACCTTGGATGGATGTGTGAAAATTTATACAAGCAGAGTAGACAGTGTGGCAACGGAGACGGGTAAGCTGCTGAGTGGTTTGGCGGATAGCCGGGATAAGAGAGCTCGTGAAGCTGGCGCAGACGGGGAAGATGCCGAGGATGATGAGGACGGTGAGGAAGGTGCGGCCAGGAAGGCGCGGAGAAAGGTTTGTAGGCGTATCAAACATATAGACATCCGTCAGGGTAACTAACTTGGCACTTTTAGGCACAACGGACACATGAAGCTACCCTTGCCCCCTCCTTCGCTTCGCTCCAGCTGAAGAAGTTTGAGCTGGAATTTTCAGTTGATCCTCTGTTTAAGAAAGCCTCGGCGGATTTTGATGAAGGTGGTGCTAAAGGCCTGCTCCTTAACCACCTATCAATAGACAGCCAAGGGCGCATCGTGTTTGACAGCAGTGACGATGCCGCTGAGGAGACCTCCAAGGATGCAGAGGATGCCAATCAAGACTTGGAAGAGTCAGAAGAACCCCAGCAGCCAGGCTCCCCATCCGGCCCCAGCCAGTCGGCCGATAATGTCTTTGATGATAACGCAAAAATCGACATAGCTCCGCTGGCGAGCAAATTCTTTCCAGATCTGGACCGCCTCGAGACCCAGGATATCTGCCCATCACTCAAGAATTTCGACCTCGGTGATCCGAGCGGCTCGCTAGATATACCCTTCCTGAAAGCCCCCGAAGACTGGCGTAATGACAAGGAGGAAAGTCAGCACCCCAACGATGCATCGGGCATTATGCTCGATGACGATAATGCCGTGGGATTCGATGATGACGACGCTACGTTAGCCGGATTCGACCTGGGTGGCGATGCTGGTTTTGGTGACGGTGGTGAGGCGTGGGCACGTGAGGCTGCTCTCGAACCAATGCTCAAGGTGCACCGCGTCGATAGGGAAGGTGACGAGAACGCTGATGGTGAAGAGCTCGACAATGAAGATCCATATACTATCTCTCTCAGCCACCAGCCAGAGAACCGGGACCATGAGAACATCCTCAGCTATTTTGATAACGCCCTGCAAAAGAACTGGGCTGGCCCCGAGCACTGGAAGATCCGGCGAATCAAGGAGCAAACGGCCACAACGAATGCCAATCTGGCACCAAAGCAGCGCAAGGAGAAGGAGCCCTTTGAAATCGATTTTGGTGCTCCTTTGGATCCGGCTATTGCTGAGATAATATACACTCCGGCCAGTTCCAACTCCACCATATCCCTGCCCAAGACGCAGTGGAAGACTAAAGGACGCAACCTACTTCCGGATGACAAACACTTCAATTCGCGCCAGCTTCTTCGTCTGTTCTTGAAACCTAAGGCTAAGATGGGCTCAAAGAAGCTGACAGGTCCTCGGCAATTCACTCAGCGACGACAAGACCAGACGGCAGGTAACGGCGAGATGGACGAGGCATTCTGGGCTAATCACAAGGTGGAAGATGCTGCAGCGTCCGAAGAAGGCGCTCAGGGTGCTTATGATGCCAACTTCTTTGCAGATGATGATGGTTTGGCATTCCCCAACGGCTTCGGCTTGGATGATGATGACGACAATCTCCCCTTTGCAGATGCCAGGGAAATGTTGTCTCCCCCTGCCGATGGGCCTCCAGGCACATCTGCGGGCGAGACCGGCGGTGCAACAGGTCTTAGCGCCCTTCTCAATATGATGGGATCGGGCCCTGGGGCCACGCAGAACAGTGGTGGGTTTGGTTCGCAGCTGGTAACGCAGGGCGCGCGTAGGGCACGACCTGACTACGTGGCATATGCACGAGTTGCCAAGAAGGTGGACGTCCGGCGACTGAAAGTGGAGATGTGGAAGGGCATGGGTGAGCGGCTGATATCAACTACGCATTTCGAGCCTGCTCCCCCGGCTGAAGACCCTACAAAATCCCCTGAGGAAGCAGAACCTCATGATGCTGAAGCTGAAGCGCAGCAGGAGCAGGAGCCGGAGCCGATGGATACCAGCCCAGACCATGGACCGGAGGACGAGAAACAAGCAAACGAGAGCCTTCGATTTACCCAGATCATGAACTCATTGAAGACAGTGTATCCCCGAGAAACACTACGCGACATCAGCACCTCCTTTGGGTTCATTTGTCTGCTTCACTTGGCCAATGAGCAGGGCTTGGTCTTGCGGAACGATGATGGGTCGGACGGCGTCGGTGCCGGCAAGCTGGAGGAGATCTTCGTTTCGAAGGATGCAAATGCTGTTCTTGAAGAAGGAGCCATATAATCCAGAGCTCATGTGACAGTTCTGCCTTTGCGTGTGCGGACGTGAATGATTGTACAGTCACGGTCTTTGTATGGAATGCCAAACGATGCGATACGAGGGATGTTCATTTTTCTTCCGGTTGGATATAGGCTTTGGGTGCTATTGGGAGGGAGTTTTAGTGGCTGGGTGGGTGGTGTGCGTTTCTTTAAACTTATTCGCGTTCCACTTGGGTAGGTGATAGACCTACATGTCAGGGATGGTTAACGTTATGGTTTCGTGTTTATTTTACATGTTCATACGGTGCTGGATATGTCATCAAACGCCATGACACTCCCTTGTTTACATAATAACTAAGAGATCCGGTTACTCTTTACTTGCAAAGATCTTAACTATTTGTCCAACTCGACCCACCATCCTGGCTGTTGCGCAACCAAGAACAACAACACTATAATAAACACCTCCAACCAATATATGTATTCCGCAATTACATGCCATGATACGCCTGTATAGGCCACGGCATAAGAAAACAGAGGAAATGATTAGACAAAAAGCCAACGTAGTTGAGTGTATCACTGGTATAAAAACAATTAAACAACAAAGCTGACACCTATAGAGAAAAGTGAAGGGTAATCAGTAGATAGGGGGGGAACGGCCGTGAGGTAGTCCAGAAACAGGCGACGGACCACGTCATATCGAAAACAAATCAATCATCATCAAAGAGTACGAGAGCTATATGCAATCTTTGAGGGCCAAGTCTTTGAAAGCTGGACTGGTGTGTCAGTATTTAAAGACATGATCCTTTTCCTTATTTTCTCTTCTAGACTTATGTCCAGCCAGCAAGGCAAAGGTCAGGGATTTTACTGGTGGGTTCCGTGCGGAAAGCTGGGACTCATAGGGCCGGCATAAGCACCGGGAATTGGCACAGACTCATAGGTTCGTTCGCCGGGTGCTGCACCCATGTGCTGGTTAGGAGCGCTTGGAACCGGTGCCGGTGCAGGTGGCGGTGGGAATTCGCTCTGCACTGGTTGTGGAGATGCCTGCTGCACCCTAATCGGGGGCGGCTGAAGCTGGAACGCCGACTGCTTTTTGAAATCAGTCGGGGGAGTGGCGAACTGGGTTGTGCACATCTGTCCGTTCTCAGCAGCAGAATACTGGTCTTGAGGAATCGAGGTTGACACGAAGGGAGCCTTGGGCATGGTGGGAAATCCGGGCGTGTTGGGGTCCATGTTCTGGCGGAGCTGAGCGATGTACAGGTCTGTTCGTGCTCTGTCTCGACGGTCCATCGACCTGGCCAGCTTTCTCTTGCTCCAGAAGCGGTAGAAAATGACACCGTAGATTACGAGGACAAAGACTTCGAGGACGATTTCAATGACGGCACAGACCAATCCCCAGTCCTGTAGATGTTCGTTAGCATGTAGCAGGTACTGGTTAGATAGCTGACTTACCTGCAGACGACAGAGGAGTGCGTAGTTGATTTGGTCTTTGAATAGTTGTTCTCTCTCGTTATGGACACAAGCCCAGCCCCATAGGTCTTTGTCGTCTCCAGTAGCCTTCGAATGTTCAAAGATTGCGGCGGCAACAATCCACATGACTAGTTGGAAGATGAAGAGGAACACCGACAGGAGCGAGTAATAAGCCGCATATTTCTGTGCACGTCTGCGTCCCCCTCTCCAGTAGCCCCAGAAGACACCAAGGCAGGCAATCAAGGAAAGACATGAAACGGCTAGAAGCAGATATTGTGGCCAAGGATTTGTGCCAAATTCCCAAGGAGGGGAAGTGTTTCGCTCAGGCAGTGACTTCGTTGCGTTGAAGACAGTCAATGTCGTTCCCAGGATGGTAAGGACAATCATACTGCAGCCAAGGTTGATGAAACGAAGGAACACCTTGGCTACCCGAACACGCAACTTGATACGCTATAGCAACCCGGGTAAGCATCCAGACAAGTCAACGAATACACTCGCATTCACTTACCAGGTCTCTCTGGTTTTCCTTTTCCGTAACCTTTTCTTGCTTTTCCACGAAAAATTCCTCTCGAAACGTTGGACTCAACGGATTCAGTGTCCGGCCTGGTGTTCCTGGAACCTTGAGAGCACCCTTCTGGTCATTGGCTGGGATATCGTGATGCGAGGCATGCTTAGCAGGGTCACTCGCAGCTACATATCCGAACCCGAGGTCAGACACGTCAGGGGGCGTCTGCGAATCGCTGGGAGGGTCGGCAAAAGGAGACTTTCCGCTGTCTCCGGGACTAGAAGGGGACTGAATCATGGTTGCTTCTGCGAAGCGAGCTGTTCGGCCACCCTTCAGCGAGGAACTCGACCATTCGGAAGAGCTCCGTTCCTCTGTAGTCACAGCAGGTTGTGATGGTAGCGCCATTACCCCGGGTTTGTGACTGGATAAGAGCCACAGGCGACACTGCTTCTAAAGGCCGAGGGGAGCGATAGTGACTGTCACTGTCGGGCGGTGCAGGCAGGCAAAGTCGCTGAGCGCAAAGGAGGCTTGCAGAGAACTCGAAAGGTATGAAGAGAACCAGCTCTCAACCTTCGCCCGGTAGTTTTCCAACTGTGGAGTACGGCAGGCACTTGTGACAGCACAGCTATACAAGCATCAAGCCTAAAATCACACTGATTAACTTCCAAGCAGAGAAAAAACGAAAGAGCCAATGCAAAGTGTGTAGGATCATGTCCCCATGAACTGGAAGCTGAATATCCACGAGGCACATACCTAAATATAGGACGACGATGAGGCAAGCGTGCAAGCCCTGACTGTGAAGGACTATCAGTTGGACAAAGTTAACCTTGGGAGACATAGGGTAAGGGATCAACGTGAAAGAGAACGAACCGATGGCCTACTGCTTGGCTTTTCACCTCACTTGAAATCACTTCTTGGATCGTGCACAGGTTGAACCAAGGGGCGGGCCACAGCGCAAGGCTGAAGTGATACGTTTGGAGTCAGAGAAGAAAAAGAAGATGAAGGAGCCGCGAGGGCAAGACGATCTCTGGGCAGCATGACCGATTTGAATATCAATGATGGGCCCTGGCCTCGCCATCCGTCGCCAGGCGGGGGAGTGCACATCGCGAGCTGGATTGTATGGACTGTATGTGAAGGGGAAAATAAGCGCCCGGCAACATGCAGCACATCAAAGGGAAGCCGGTGATTGGGTGGTCGAGGGATGGTCTTGGGTGTGAGCAGAGGACGACAGGGGTGAGGAGCACGATGACTGGATATCAAGCAACACCACTAGAGCAGTTGGACTGGCTTATCACAGTGGGGAAAGTCGCGATACGCCGGGGCAAAGGCCATGGAGGTTCCCGTGCTGTCACTCCAGATGCACGGCCTGTCACCCGTGGAGCGAATGAGGAGAGTCAATAAGCCGGTCTGGCTTCTTCTTCCCGGCGCCAACTGTTGATCGTCTCGGGGCCCAGCCAACCACAGGTGTTGCAGAACCGCCGGCCATCAACGCCCGCGAGAGTCAACAGCAGGATTTCTGCTGCAGGTTCCGAGTAGCTCCAAAAGAAGAAAAAGCCATGAGGGGTTTATCTACTAGTACTGTAGGAAGGGATCAGTCAGTTAATATGGGACAGTTGTGTGTCTGTGTGTGTGTGTGTGTGTGCTTTCGGAAAGACAACGGAACAGAATGAACACTCACCCTGGCCTGATCCATACTTAGTCGCTGGGAGTGACATCGGGGGCAGGGGAGGAATGAGAGAATTGAGAGAACCAAATTGATGGGTTGGGGGTGGATGGGGTGAAGGTGACCCTTCCCTTCCTTCCTTTCCTTCCCTTTCCCCCCCTCTTCGTCCCCTCACGTGTTGAGCTACTAGTCCCTGGCCAGCTGCACTGGTTATCACATCCACCATTCCCGTCACGGCGCTTAAGCGCCCTCTTCTCTGGACTCTTCCGGCTGCTTTTCTCCTCTTCTGTGCCATGGCAATTCTTCCTTGTTGACATGCCAACACAGGCAATGAATTTCTCGTCGAGGATAAGGAGCCTTGCATCGAATAGAGAGGGAGGCGAGCACTCAATGATGTGATCCCAAATCCAGGATCAGATCAGGTACAGGGGGTATTATCTGTATGCGCACCGAACCGACTTAGGGCGCCTGTGATATCTCAGAAGCAGTATAGATTGAAGTCTAGGAATCGGCCTCTCCCTCCAGCCTAGACCAATGAGCTGGCGTAAATCCAAGCGTTTGTGCTCTTTAGCAACGAATTTGGTACTCCAGCATCCAGGGCTGCATGTGTTGGGACACGAACTTTGAGAACATGGAAGGGGCAATAGTCGTGCACATTGCCTTTCGTGAGCGCTAGCTCAAATTGCATGTCATTTCTTCCCCCTCTCCTGACGGTTGAGAGCTGCGGAGACACTATTTGTCGGACGGTCAAGCTAAATGAACGCAACGTTCAGCCCTGCGATCCCTGTTTCTTGGTCGCGCCCGAAACTTTCACAAAAGCTCACAGTTATGCCTGCCCAAGAAGGAAACGAGATGCCGACATCTTTCCCTCGACTGTTGGGTGGCATTTTCTGAGCTCGTAAGTCTCTCAAACCCCGACTATAGAGGACTCCGATAGGCGAGTTGTGGTCCAACATTGCGAATACATTAGAAGCATAATCACGGATGAAGAAAAAGATAATCCTCGCTCAACACAAATGGTGCATTTCTGCCTTATTATAAGCCGTAGACATCTTCTAAGGGAGCTCTATCCATCACACCAGCATGGAACATGGTAAAATTTCAATCAACAGTATGAAAATGTCAAGTTAGCAATTCTCTATCATGACAAAGCATGAGCGAGCAAATTGAGCCCTCAAAGAAGATCAAATATTGCAGGAATCTGGGTTTTGAAGAATACTCCCTTTATTGCGATGATCAAAAATTGGTGACGACATTGTTAGCTTAGAAGTCGACGATCAACAAGAACCCTAGACTTATTCTCCCGTGAGATGGAAACGGCTCGAAATCAACTATCATTTATTGAGGTGAACCGAAAGCCATATATATGCTACTACCCAAGTAAGAGGAAACATGGTTATACAGAAGAACAATTGCCCCCGGATAAGCCGCCTGTAGCTGCACTGCTAACAAACTGAGTGCATCATGACATGACAGATAAATGAGCAAATCTATTGAATATTCACTTAGTATATTGTTCTGTTCTATGTAGCGTATGACATTCAATGACTGATATCACTAAAGGGTCTGCCGTGTATCCTCCCATACTATCATCACAGCCGGGTAGTTGTTGAACCACATGGCCAAGTACCAGTGCGTAGGTACTTGGTAAGCAGGGTCTTACTACCGACCCCGAAATCCCACTGATAGTACAACTTTGCTATTGTATAAATAGGACATATTCTTCATCATCGTGGATGCCTTGACCACTAGCACATGACATATCTGGCTCGATGTTGCCTAAAAATATCATGACGAATGCTTTGGATCACCTACTACTGATCCACCTTCCATGATACAGAGGGTCAAGAAGAGTTTTCTAACGGGAAAAAAACGACCGACTCGTTATAGCACCCTCGGGTAGTTCACACCCCAGCGCGTAATTCAAGGGGTCTACTGTCAGACCTATGTTGTTGTGGACAAAGTTTGGAAGACACGCATGCCATGACTCGGGGCTATCAGGCTCCGGAGTACTCCGAGAAGCTGGATATTGACATAACGGCAAGGGGGACAATAAGGGAGCTTGCGGACGGAGATCGCAGCCTCGGGAGTAGTAGTAGGGAGGATCAGATAATAGGCGTATGGCCTCTTCTTAGCTTTAGATTCACATATTGTAAGACCCTGAATGCCTCGATATTGAGGAAAAGGCAAAAAGGAAAGTACGTACTAACGACTGGACCTAGTAAGTTTGGCGTGCAGAGACCATGAAATAGTAGTGAGTAGAGTACTGAGTAGTGAGTGAAGAACTACATCCTATGTAGTACCAACCTGGGTCACAAGGGTAACGAGCAGCATTGTTAGTACGACACAAAGTACTACTCCTTTACTCTGTATGAGTAGTAGTAACATGAGTAGGAATAAAACATGGCAGCTGTTGGTGGGTGGAGAACAAATGAGAAGAGGCCCAAAGCGCATGTCAGGCAGGCGGTGGGCCTGTACAGCCACCGTGTGACCCCCCCACTCGGTTCTAGAAAACGGGTTCCAACTGGTCAGGCGTCCAGAGCCACCAGCTTTCTCCGCAGCTGGACTGCCAGCCACAATGAAGTTTCAGCCTAGCCACACAGCCTCATTTTCCATCCGCCTCTCCTGAATCTAGTATAGCCTTCCCAACCCAGTGGCCCAATGTAGAGGATTTTTTCTGTAGTTCCACTGTCCTGCATACGGAGAACACCGTACTCTATTGGCACCTTCAGCTTTCTCTCCCTTTAGTCTCCTTTGTGTGTTTCTCTCTCTCTCTCTCTCTCTCTGTCCCTCTTCCTCTTTTTTTTTCCATCCCACTTTTTCATGCATAAATGGGTGTCGGCAGACCCTGTCTGTATCCTCCGGTTCAGCCACCCATCATATGGCTGTGTCTTGTGCTTTACGCTCATTTCTTCAGGCTCTGGAATGTCCCATAACTGTGGCAAGGCGTCGCTTGTCAGCTAATGAAATCAAGTTTTCAGCTGTAGGGTCTGTTCAAGCCAACCAATAGACGCAAACGTACTATGTAACCTGCAGTAGTATAGTCTGTAGTAAGAGTAGGCGATGCTCCACAGTTGGACATTACTTACGTACAGTGGCAGCAACCCCTTTATTCCGTGATTGTTTGATAGAGACAGGTTATTGAACTTACACAACATCCATGAATGAAGCAATTATACACAACACAAGATGATCAGTGTAGACTGCGTGGATGTGGATCATGAGAATGGACTACCATCTTGCCTCTCCATGAATGCCAAGACGCACTCTCTATATTAAGCTGCTTCTGAGTTATCGAGACTAAGAACTTTAGTGTATCTGGTAAGGCAGGCACTCTGTACACCGTGCTCTGTAGTAAATTACTAGTGAGTAGTTCACTAGTAAGTACTCCGTAGATCTTGTATACTCAGCCCCAAAGGCCCATGCTGAGGGGAAAGGTTCTGCATCGTCACCCTCAATATGGAGGAGAGCATCACATTAAGCTATCCAGTAACTGTGTAGTAGTACTCTTCAGGAATGATGCCCAAAATGGGCGAATTTACTTTTATTTCATACTACATACAGGAGCATCTAGTTATCTGCATGCTTTCAGTTTGCTCAGCCCATGCGGCGGTGATTAATACGCAACGCCTCAAATGGGACGGGAAAGTTGGAAAGTTTCCGGTTTCCTGACCAGCGTCCACCCGGCAGAGCCGCCCGTAACCTTGGTCATCAATGGTACGGGCCACTTCTCCAGCCACTCTGCCTCCCTCGTGTTCTTCTTCCGGCTCTTCTCTCCTCCTCTTTCTCTCTCTTTCCCTCTCGCTTTGTATGTGTACGCTGAGTTACATCAGACTTATCTTGGTCTCACGG